TTTTATTACTTTTATTTTGATTTGTTATGTAGTTAATGTAAGGAGTAAAATTTTGTGGTATGCTTTTGATATTTTTGTATTATGTATGAAACTGAATCAAGTATTCTGGGTAGTGATCATAATATTGATTCCTTTATTATTTTGATGAAGTACTGTTGTTATTATTCATAATGTTATTTTTATTATTATTAGTAGTCATATATGTATATGTGTGTGTATATTATTTACAAAAATATCCCTAAGTTTTTATATTTATGCGATTCCCCCACGTTTCGTTTCCTATATTTTCTGAAAATTTCGTTTCTTGTGTTTCCTGTTTCCCGTTTCCGTGCAACCTAGCATAGCATTGATTATGCACTAGCAAGTAAAAAGTTTATGACTCATGTATTGCTCTTGGCACGGTTTTCATGCAGGCTCTTTACAACAGTAAGAGATTCTCTTGGATTAACATACGATGTTTCATTTGAGCTAAACCTATTCGACCGCTTGAGGCTTGGGTGGTATGTGATATCAGTGACATCAACCCCCTCCAAGGTGCAGATTTACATTTTTTAAGTCTTGGACTGTTTCACCCATTTATTTGCCAACTTGTATTTAGTATGGGTTATGTGCAGGTTCACAAAGCTGTTGATGCTTGCAAAAATGTCCTCAGAGGCTTGCATAGCAACATCATTACACCAAGGGAGCTAGATAGGGTTAGTGGCCTACTTGCCTCTCAAAATTTCTCCAGATTACAGTTTTTGCATTTCACCCATATATTCATGAAGTAACTCTACTTTTGGTATTTTTGGTAATATAAATTTCCAAAGCTGTGATTGTTGTTACAGAATACAGATTCCCTTGCTGTAGTAGGAATGATATACTTCGTACTCATACATTAGCTCAGTGCTTTCTTTATAGAATGGTTTTATTATCTAAATAAAAAAGCTAATGTGACTGAGGCATTTCTTAAGGCTTAATATTGTTCTCCCTCAGGCAAGGCGAACATTGCTAATGAGGCATGAAGCTGAGAGTAAATCAAATGCTTATTGGCTTGGATTGCTTGCTCATTTGCAAGCTACATCAGTACCCAGGAAGGTGAAGTAACAAGTCTTTGTTTGTACTATTATTATTTACTTTTATTTGGGTAGTTGTGTTTTGTGAAAATTGTGGAGGTGGCACATCACTATATTTTTTACTTTATCCCTTTTAATTTCTCAGGACATATCATGCATTAAAGAGCTGACTGCACTGTATGAGGCTGCTACGATTAAAGACATATATGTTGCCTATGAACAGCTGAAGATAGATGAAGGTTCCTTGTTCTCTTGCATTGGAATTGCTGGAGGAAATGCTGGGGAAGACATTTCAGGTAACCTGGTTGGATATACTCTGCTGTAGCTTAAGCTTACACAGTTACACTGCTATATATGGCGCACATATATTATAAATGTAACTAATGCCCCATTTATACTAAATGGTGCACAATTGACCTCATTGGATGTACTCTGAAATTTGCTATGTTCTCAATGGCACTATGCTTACATAATCTGAAGTATATACCTAAGGAGTTGGTGAAATGTTTTCTCATAAAGTTGTATAAATGATTTTTTTTCTTTTTAAAACTCATTATTAAGATGCACAATGATGGAAATTAGTCTTGGGTTTCTCTTTTTTTTTTTCTACTTGTTTCTGAATTTTATAAATGTGGACTTTTTTGGGTGCATGAGGACCATGACGAGTATTATAGATTTGCAAAATACACTTTCATCTGGTTTTATGTATGTAAACCTTGAGTGGATTTGATGCATCTTCTCCATATTCTGCTTTAAAATTGTCTTTTGTTTTGGTGTTTGGGGTTCTAGTTCCTGTAGAAGTGGAAGAATCAATTGATGGTGGTCTTTCGAATGTTATTCCTATGGGTCGTGGTTCGTCTACAATGACACGACCTACAGTATAGAAATCCCTTGAAAGAAAGATTTTGTACGGTATGTTTACTGGATAATCTGATGCGTTAGACTTATCTAATATTAGTCCAAGGGCCTATGTAATATGGAAATCAAGTTCCTACAATATGGTACCTTTTCACAAATTTTCATTATCAAGTGTTGTTATATCTATATTAGTCCAAGGGGCAAGGGCCTATGTTGCATGGAAACTTGAGAATAGTAGGGACACTGAAACGGGAAGCACTACCTTTTAATAAAGGGAAAACTGTCAAATAGGTCTTCGAACTTTCATAAAAAAGTCAATTAAGTCCTTCTATAGGAGACTATGTCCGGTCATCGCGATTTGGGGCGGTTCTCAATGGAATTTTTTGATGAAATTTTTTGAGCATCTTATTCATCAAGTCTAGTTTACTCATACCAAATTTCAACTAAAAATTTAATCGGGAGCGCATTCAAATTAATTCGAGAACGCAAAAATGCACAGAGAATTAATTTGAATGTGTTCCCGATTGAATTTTTAGCTGAAATTTGGTATGAGTAAACTAGCCTTAGTGAATAAGATGCTCAAAAAATTTCATCAAAAAATTCCACCGGGAACTGCCCCAAATCGCGACGGCCGGACAGAACCTCCTATAGAAGGACTTAATTGACCTTTTTATGAAAGTTCGAGGACCTATTTGACAGTTTTCCCTTTAATAAAAAACAACTGTAGAGGATTTCCGTAGAGTTTCTGAAATGGAAACATACTCTCTCCCGAGAGTTTCCATGCTTCATAGCCTCATAGGGCTCCACACATGCCTTTATCCTATTGGAACACAAGTTATTTGTCAATTTACAATTCTGTAAAATGGGAAAAAGTTATTTTTTAGTCTTTCCTTTTTCTTTTGGAGAATATTTCAGCTTGAAACTACGTGTATTCCATTTAATTTTACTGAAAAATGAGAAGTTTTCCGTGTGCTAATAATTCGTGTACAGAGACTGAAGTTTCTGGTGGCGTATGAGCTGGACGTCTACAAGCGGAGTATATTAATCCGCCTTAGGCATGGGATTTATGCGGGATTTTATTTCCAACAGAGGTTGTTGGTTCCCAATGTTGTATTATTATTATTATTATTATTAGAGTATGAAAGAGGATTAGTGATGCATGGGATTTTACTAGTCAAAATGCGCATTTTTTTGGTCCTGAATAGACAAAAAATTGCGGGAACATTTATCTAAAGTACAACCACAAATCTCGCTCATTCTTTCGTATATATACGTTATATACGAAGTATGTATCTCTGTGTGTTATTGCCTATGTAGTGCTGCTTTTTCTATCATTATTGAGTTTAGTGCTGATGTCCTAAACCTGTTTTTTGTTTTCTTTAATATGAAAACAAGAAAATTGAATTAGAAAACTACAATTTTTTCAATGTATCTGAAAGTTGAAAAAGTCAGACTTTAAAGTAGAATATTCAATTAAATAGGCCCGTAGACTGAAAAATAGTGTACCATAAATCCATATGTTACACCATCTAGCAGACCTGCATCCGCTTTGCTAAAGAAATAATCTAGTTTGAATGGAAACTGATATTTTTAGTAACCTGGTAAAACAAGTATAAAAACACTCTTTATGACCATTTTTTGTAATCTGGTAAAACAAGTTTAAGAACACTCTTTATGACCTAATGACCATTTGTTAACATTGAAATTAGCTGAAGATAAATTTTCAAGTGGTTGAGTTAATTGAATCTTTTGAATTTTGTATAATTTATATTTAAAATATATTTTATTAATAAAGTAAAAATATATGTGAAAATAGTTACAATGGTCTCGATTCGGTTAGAAAGTAACTGTAATTTTGATTGTTACACGATTCAACATGTCATATAAACAATTGAGTGTGAAAAAAACTGGACTAATAAAATTGAGTGAAATGTGAATTCACTGAACGGGCTCATAAAAGAATAAAAGATGCATGTTTCGTGACCTTCGAACACTAGAATTTCACAATTATGTGACTTGGTGAGGAATTGTTATGAAGTTGAAAAATGCACATTTATCATGGATACTATAACAACTCGAATTTCAATCTCAGACACCTTTTCCTCAATCGCAAGGATAATAATTACTGAATAAATTAATAGTGAGCATGTCTGGAACAATTAATAATTTAGATTAAAAATCACCTCTTAGAAAGTAAAGAGTTTTAACAAAAAGTGCGTTGGAGCATCTACAGAAGTCTATAATCAATTAGGTTAAAGGAAAAATTACTTGTAATTTTTTTTGGAAGTTAATTTCTTGTATTTAAAAACCCAAAATTATATGGAGCACTACGTACTTCCTATTTCATTAAAATGTTTCATTGTTTTTCGAAATTTCCTAAAATAGGAGTAATGATAATACAAAATTCCAGAATTGGAATATTTTACATTTCCTTAAGTAGGAGTATATATTATTATTATCATTGCTAAAATCCTACTGTCATATTTACAAAATAATTGTATTTTTCAAATATGTAAGTAATTACTCTTATACTCCGTATAAGGGAAAAAATAGAAAAAAAAAAGAGAAAAAATACTCCGTACAAGAGAAGGAAAGTAGCTCTATTTTGAAATATTATGTTTTTACTTCTGTCGAGGACATTCCATTAATAAATTTAAAAAATCGGCCTTTTGTTGCAAAGGAGAAAAAGTTCATTCAAGTGTTCAACTATAATCGTTATAACAACTGAGGATAAATGGAATTGACCATCCAAATCAATCTAATTTTGTTAGGTTTCAGAAATCACAAACAAGGTCAATATAAACGGGTAACTATGCATCCAAATGGAGAAGGAATTAGGTTAACGGTTACACCAACTTCTTATCTTCCATACAGTCACCCAGCGAAAAAGGAAACTGAAAAATGGAACAGCATGCACAATAGCACTCGGTTTTGGACATGGTAAAATAAACGCCGATATGGTTAGTCACATGATAATGGCAACCTTCAACTTTCAGCTCACCAAATTTATACCGATGTATAACACAAACAAACTCATGCACGCCAACACTACCATGCATATAACTCATCACAACATGTTCATGCATCCCACAGCATTATGAGCACAACTACACAACCAATAACAATCTTACAAAAATGACCACATTCTCCAACTCTTCTGCGTATGACGCTGCAGGCAACTTACCTTCACGGGGCTTTCTTCTCTTGCCGGAGATTCAGGCGGTGGAATTGATCCTTGCTCTCATGGTTTTCCTGACCATACATGCTCTGAGGCAGGAGAAGAAACATGGGTTGGCATGTTGGCCAATTGTTGGAATGTTGCCTGCTCTAGTCCTTGGCGTTCGGAAAGACCTATACGAGTGGCTTTCAGGAGTTCTCTGCCGCATGAATGGCACCTTTACCTTCAGAGGTCCATGGTTCACTAATCTCAACTGTGTGGTGACTTGTGACCCAAAGAACCTGGAGTATCTACTGAAGGAAAGATTCTCAAACTTCCCGAAAGGAGAATTTTTTCGGAACACGGTACAAGATCTTCTAGGCGACGGCATATTCACTGCAGATAATGAGAGTTGGCAGAAGCAGAGAAAGACAGCAAGACTTGAGTTCCATTCTGCCAAATTCCGAAACCTCACAACTGATTCTCTGCTGGAGCTTGTCCACCAGAGGCTCTTACCTGTGCTGGAGGAGTCACTCAACCAATCTGCTGCCCTTGATCTGCAGGACATTCTCCTACGGCTCACATTTGACAATGTCTGCATGATAGCTTTTGGAGTTGACCCGGGGTGTTTGCGGCCCGGTTTGCCAGATATTCCCTTTGCCCAAGCTTTCGAGGATGCAACAGAGGCAACCATAATGCGTTTTGTCTTCCCCACATTTATATGGAAGGCCATGAGGTATCTCGGCTTTGGGGCAGAAGGGGGACTGAAAGTATCACTGGAAAAGGTAGACCACTTTGCAGATGAAGTGATCAGGAAGAGGAAGGAGGAGCTGTCTCTGGCATTGTCAGAAGGTGCCACCAAACACAGATCAGATCTACTAACAGTATTTATGGGACTCAAGGATGAAAAGGGCAGGCTGTTTTCAGATAAATATTTGCGTGATATTTGTGTGAACTTCATATTGGCTGGTAGAGACACTTCATCTGTAGCATTGAGCTGGTTTTTCTGGCTCCTGAATCAAACACCAGAGGTGGAGGAAAGAATCGTTGCAGAAATCTGCCAGATTTTGAACTCAAGGGGGAAAAACCATATTACCAAAAAAGGGTATGGGAAAACACCGATCTTCGAGCCAGAGGATATTAAGAAAATGGATTATCTTCAGGCTGCTCTGTCAGAGGCTCTGAGATTGTACCCTTCTGTTCCTGTGGATCACAAGGAGGTAAGACTCTTCAACCATAAACAACATAATACACTATTCTCCAAAGCAAAAACTAATAAAAATTATTTCCTACAACAAAATCCACCGTAAAAGAATGTTAGTTAGGACTAATGAATTACTGCAACAAAGACAAAATCTCTTCTTTTCAGTAGCCCTTTTTCTTGTACTTCCTCCACTATAAAATAATACTCCGTAAAGAAAACCCTTTTGTTAAATTACTTGACTTCTGCATCATCATTACAGGTCCTTCAGGATGATATCTTCCCAGATGGGACAGTGCTAAAGAAGGGAACCAAGGTGATATATGCAATCTATGCAATGGGAAGAATGGAGAGTCTGTGGGGAAAAGATTGCAGAGAGTATAAACCAGAGAGGTGGCTTAGAGATGGGAGATTCACAAGCGAGTCTGCCTACAAGTTTGCAGCGTTCAATGGTGGCCCCAGGTTGTGTTTGGGGAAGGATTTCGCTTACTACCAAATGAAATTTGCAGCTGCATCCATATTGTGCCGTTATCATGTGACAGTGGTAAAGAATCATCCAGTAGTGCCAAGGATGGCACTGACACTGTACATGAAATATGGTTTGAAGGTGACACTTTCAAGGCGTGATCAGTCTGAGCTTCACCATTATCTGAACAATGAATAAGAGGAGCATTTCATAGGCCACCATATTCAATTAATACTATATACTCTTTGTTTGTCTTCTACTCTTCATTGGTACCTTAAAACATAGACAGGGTGGTGTTTCAAGGATTGTGGTGGATATACAGCTGATTAGGAATGTTTTTTTTTGTATTGTAAATTTCTTCTACTATACCTCCCACCCATTTTAAATGTCTACTCAGTTATTTTGTGTAATCAGGCTCGATTCAATTATGTAAAATGCAGATTTTAATCTCATTTAAGAAATAAAAACATAATTAAAAACATGAAGGAAACACACAAAATATTCACCTCAACATGTTATCCGAAAAATCACTGCCATGACAGGATAAAAGCCTGAATCTACACACACAAAAGGGACTTGGCCACTTGGGGTTAACTACAGATTCCAATCTGCAACAAACTTATTTACGTAAAAATTAGGTAGCAAATAAAAAAGAATATACAGACCAACATTTGAAGCATGCATTATCACTATTATGTTGATTATTGATGGCGCGTCTCTTCGCATGATTAAAGCAAAGAAACATGGTATAAGTGGGTCGACAAAGTCCACACTTTTGCAATGTCAACCCACAGCTTTCGAACATAGAACTTTAGACACAAGGTGCAAAGCAACAATCAAAGCTTCCTTATGCATTGTCGTGTTAATGTGATTGCTTCACAACACGAATTTCCAAGTTCATTTGGATTAAAAATGATCAACAACTCATTGTTTGACCAACAACGTGTTAATGTAATTTTTCTTAGTGACACATACTCCGTATATTCCAATGTTTCTATGCATGTATAGTTTATCTCACTAGCACAGTGGCACTGCACAACTCATCTCAATTTGTGTGCCACTGGGTTTGTAAGAGAAAAGATCATTTGCCTAAAGATCAAGGGTAGATCTCCTTAAATATATATAACATTCAACTCATTGCCTTTATTATCTTTAAAGAATTAATAAGGTGTGTGTTTGGCAAGTTTCTAGGAATGAAAATAGGCATTGGTGTGAAACAGAGGGGGCGAGTTTCATAGTCCATTTGGAAAGGGGTATGGTTCAATGCCAATTAGTAGGGAATCAAATCCATGTGGACTCTATTCCAACTCCATTACTGATCAGGAGTTTGGCAAATCCCAATTGGGTCACTACATATAGCACTATAGCAGCCCATCTTGCTTTCGCCACACTATTAGCTTGGCAAGCTGTGTTTGTTAACTGCGACGGCTTCAGCGAACTGGAACGATAAGATCGCGTCGAACTTCTCCTGGACTGAATTTGTTCCTCCATCGCTGCTGCTATAGATGCTTCAATGTTGCTTTGAATCTGTTCCTTCATCGCGAAGTTTGTCATCATTGCCCTCATCTCCTGTTGCCACGCATCAAAGCGATTTTCCATTTTAGATCTGGTCTTAAGCCTGAAACGAAAACTCTGCAGTAGTCGCACTTCAATTCTGATCTCCAGGAGCGGTGATGCTCTGATACCAATGTTAGGACATGGTAACAATCCAGTCCAAAGTAATGGAAGAACACACAGATCTGATAAACTCAGGGGGAAATATTGTTTATTGATGAAATAGGGTAAACCGTAGGTAACAAGGGACAGGGACAGACAGGGACAGGGACTTCTTAGGCAACAAGGCAACACTCAATATCCAAATAACAGTCTACCTTTTAGTAGCTACACAACTTACTATTTATAGTAGTAGGTCCACGCAGGGACTAAAATAGATAAACATACTCATTAAATGACCCCAGCCCACTTAATTGACCTCAGCCCATTTTATTTCTCCTTTCAAATACCTTATTAAAATACTAAATAGGCAGATTCCTAACAGTATTATAGATTAATAAACTACTATTGACGAATTAATTCTTGCGTTGAAAAGTCGGACATCAATTTTTTCCACTTTAAGCATGGACTCTAAATAATCTCTTTTCATTCTTCCCCTTTCTCGTTCTTCCCACCAGATCTGAAAGGAGATCCCAAGCATGCACATAACACAGATCCTACTGTAAACTTGCATCTCAAGTTGTAGAACACGCTCTCTATTACTCCCTCCGTCCCATAAAATTCTTCCCACCTACCTTTTTGGGATGTCCCAATGCATCTTCTCATTTCTTTTTTTGGAAAGTTTTGTGTGGCTAACATTCATTTATCTTTTTCTTACTCAAACACAACCTTACATTTCCACTTATTCTCACTTTCTTAAACTCCGATCCAAGTCAAACCGGGAAGAATTTTATGGAACAGAGGGAGTATTATCGAACAGTGAACATAACTATAGAGCCACATGATTATTTTCCACACTCAGATGGGTATATTTATTCTGCATTTGCATACATGCAGAGGGCATTTAAATGCAATATTTTACAACAATGGTGAGAATCAAGATTTTGAAAATGCATCATGAAGACTTTTGCAGTCAACTAAATATGCAAAACCATATGACATGTTCATTAAGGTTGCATGATGCAGTTCTGCCGAGGACGTAGCAGTAGCATCTGTGGAGAAGAAAACCCTGAAACCCCTCACAAAAGCCTCTCTTGCAGTGGTCTCACAGCACAAGTTGGTCATTACGCCAGTCACAATTACCTCTTTTGCCCCCATCTCAGCCAGAGTGTCCTCTAAGTTTGTACCTAACACACATCATGGTGCATCAGTCAATTAATTTGTTAATCAGTTAACAAAAAAGTGAAAATACTCAATTTTTTGTCTCTGTTTAGTTAACTCTTAGGAAACCTATCGATTTGGGTAATCAGCACTATCTGATGTGGGCGCCCCGACATGATTCGTGATAGATTTTTATTACGTGTATTATTATCCGTTTCCTAGAGTAACATTGGTATTAGTTTGTACTTTGTAATAGTTTCCTATTGGCAATAATATTTTACTCAGTTAAGTTATTAAGGATTAAACTCTAAATTGTAATTGGTTACAGCTTACAAGTACTCTAATTTGTGACCATCAAGACTCTTAGGAGCAAGTATACTATCAATTATTTCAGATATAATTCATGTATCTTTTCAAGGCTTGAAGTGAGGTTCTGATAGATCATGCATAAATAGGCACATTTTGTTTGATGGAATAAAGCAAAATGGCTCACTGAACTGTCTGCGCTTCTTTGTTATGAAGCAGTAGTCAGTCCATGCAACTTTTGGACGCGATTTTCATCATGGGTCATCCGGAAACAGTTTCTTTGTGCTTTAGTACAGGGGTAATGTTATTGTTGTTGTTGTTGTATCTTTGCAAGGCGAAACACTGAAATTTACTCCCTGCCAAGGGCGTATAGTTATTCATCTTCATATCTTTTCATCATTTCCCTTCTTCTCCTAGCCACACTTGTAAGGCTATCTTAATAGATCTGTTTGAATAGGATGAAGAAAATCAAAGGGTTTGGTATGATGTGCCATGGGTTATATCAGGGCATTAGAGCAGTTCTAATGCAATAATATGCACGATGCACAACTAGGAGAGTGTTGTTAATGCTACTGCTGAAGATAACCAGGATCTCATTTCTAACAACCAGGCCCGCGGATGGTGGCGAACTCAAGCAGGGAGGATCAGGAGAAGCATTCGGTAAAAGTTTTGAACGAAAGGTCATTAAACCCATTTTGAACACTCAAGCTATTAATGATGATCTTCCTAAAATTGATTGGAAAGCAAAACACATAAGACGTTCCCTGGAATACTCTACCAACTTTCCTTAAACCGTTTAGCTAGACTTTTGAAGATAACGTATCTCTAAGACATGTTGGCAGACTTTGAGAGATCTCTAGAAAGCGTTTTTTAGAGTGAAAAAGGTCAGATTCACATCCAAGTGTGTAAAACCTCAGTCCAACACAACAATGTTAGCATCATCGATGCAAATGCATAGGCAAAGCATGTAACTAATGATTTATTAGGAGCGTAACTAATGGAATTGACTCGGCTCTGCAATCAATTTTCAGGAGGCTTCGCATCTGGGAGGAAGAGCAGCACAAGCTTAGGGCGCAGACTTTACTTGCATGAGGTCTAGCGACTGCACTAACCGACATGCTTAGATCCTCAAATTCAATCGCAGTACAACTCACATGAACTTGGAAATCAATGCAAAGAATGTTACCTCTGAAGGCGCTGTAAGTGCACTTTTCAACCACCAAGTCAGAATCCACCCTGCCCAAATCGGGGATGAGCTCGGCCTCAACAGTGCCGTCCATGATAAGGTTGCCGTCCCACCACTCGTAAAGCATGCCGTAGTCCTCCTGGGACTGGTGACGGTGTCGCGTGAAGATCACAGGCACTGACGCGCCGCGGCAGAGATCGATTGTGGCCTTGATCTCCGGCAGGATAGGCTTCGCCATCGAGTGGAAGTAGTTTTGCATGTCAACCACTAACAAGACGGCCGATTTGGGGTCCGGATCGCGCTTTCTGACGTCATATTTTTCGTATGGCGGGTGTGATGACGTCGATCGGAACATTTCTTATAATCGGCTGAGTTTTCGTGAATGAACGGAGAGTAAAACGGACGGAGTAGTAAAAGTAAAAGTTCGATAATACGGACTAGGAGTTACGCATTTTACATGACAAAAAGGAAGATTACATGAAGAAATAACATTGGGCATCAAGAAATGCCGGGTGTTCGGTTTTTTATTTGTTTTCAGCTTTTGCTCTATCATTTCTGATTTATTTATTTTTAGAACATTATAGTGCCATTTCTCATTTATTCATTTTTAAAAATACCATTTATGGAATTATATAGTGCCATTTCTAAAGTCACAAAATGACATAATTTTATTTGTATTTGATCATTATTGCTTTATAATGCCATTTTATATACACATTGGACAAACAGTGCCATTTTTATGGAAATTATTTTATCAATATGTTAATATTATTTTCCAATGCCATATTTTTGTATTATGAATGCCATAATTTTTTAATCCCAAAGTGTCATATTGTAGATCTTAATGTGTCATAACATGTCACTGTTACTGTGAGGATGACAACAACATTGTGAGTATGGCAACAACACGAGAGGTAAGAAAGAGTGCCATTGTGATGGTTGCGGTGTAGATCCAGCTCGCGGTGGCCATGGCAGAAGAGATGATGCCAAAGAAGAGGTGACGATGGTGGTTGCAGAGGTGGCGGCTGGTGGTTGAAGAACCGCCGGCGACGATGGTAGTTGTAGAGGCAGCGGACGACGGTGGAATTGAAGAGCCACCAGTGACGGTAATAGGTGTGGTGGCCGGTGGTGGAAGATCCGCCGGCGACAAGGACGTTGGATACGGATGAGATGACTGGCAGCAGAGAAGGCGCACCATCGTGCCCTAGGTTGTCTTCCGTGTCTTGTACCGCTTCATTTGTATTGTTTCACTCCGTATTATATTGCTTTAAATAAAAGAAATCAAATGTTTTATTAAGGGCAAATCTGTCAGATTTTATGTTTTAGCTCTTACGGAACTCCTAGGTCCTATTTTTGCACTTTTCTAATGTTTTACTCTTAGTTAGGTAATGTAATACCCCATGAACGAACCATCAGAAGTTCAGAAAATTTTGTGTATTTTTGGACATATCAATCACATACTCACATATTCTCTAAGTGCTGTGTTAGGTGTACATAGGATGTGTACACTTTGTCTGTACACTCATCTATCCCCTGTAGACAAGTTGTCTGTCGACAGACAACTTGTCTATGGAAGACAGACGAGTGTACAAACCAAGTGTACACATTTTGTATACACCACACATTATTCATTCTCTAACCCTCATGTACAAGAATAATCTCAATTATTATTAGTAATATGTTGAGATATTTAAAGCATAATCATCACAAAATAATCTAAATTATTAAAAAAATCTTAAAATGCTCTATAGACTCAAATATTACTCTTTCCATTTCAGTATGATTGTTTTATTATCCTGCCAAGATTTTCTCATACCAAATTTGATAAAATTTGTGTGATTTTACAATTATGTTTGACGTGCCATTTCAAATAAAAATGAGCTGAATTTTTTTAAATTCAGTTAATCATGATAAAAGTAGCCCTGTTTGGATAAATAGCTTCATTAAGCTTAAGCTGAAAATAATTAGCTGAATAGGAACGTTATTGTCCCTAGCTTTTCGAGGTAAGGGTCAGATTGGTACTCGAAGTTGCATAAAAGGGCCAAATAAGTCCTTATATAGGAGGCTCTGTCCGGCAGTCGCCATTTGGGGCGGTTCCCGGTGGAATGTTTTGACTAAATTTTTTGAGCATCTTATTCATTAAGTCTAGTTTACTCATACCAAATTTCAAAAAACAATTCAACCGGGAAGACATTCAAATGAATTCTTAAAGATAGATGTGCAGTTAAAAGCGTAGTTATCTTCAAGAATTCATTTGAATGCCTCCCCGTTTGAAGTTTTAGCTGAAATTAGGTACGAGTAAACTAGACTTAATGAATAAGATGCTCAAAAAAATTCATCAAAATATTTCATCGGGAACCACCTCAAATGGCGACGGACGGATAGTAAGGACTTATTTGACCCTGTTTATGCAACTTCGAGTACCAATCTCACAGTTACCTCCTAGCTTTTCAATTCGATTGATGGTTCATGGTATAACTCCTTGTAGAAGACAAAACTATCCCTGTGCGGCTATCTTCTCTTCTCGGAAAATTCTGTCACTACTTCCGCCTCTTCTCATTGTTTGTTGTTATTAGTTGTAAGGTATGGTATCTCCAAAAATTTCTTCTTGTTTATATAGATTCTACAGTTTTTTCCAAGAAAGACGAAATGAAGGAAACGTGTTGGTTTTGTTAGGAATTAAACTACGCAACACGAAAAAACAATATGAAGATTACACGAAAGTTGATAGGCCTTTTTATTCCAATATTACTAACATAAATGAAAAAGATAAAAAAGTGATTTGTTTTACATTTTTCTTAAAATGTGACTAAATGTCATTTACTACTTATAATTAACCATATATTTATTTTTAATTATTCCTTTATAGCACCTCCAGGCCGCCGACCCCAGCACCACCATTGCCGCCGGCGGCGGCACCGGCGCCACCGCCACCGCTGCCGCCGGCCAAAGTGACTCCGGCCATAGTGACAGCCACCAAAGTGACTCCGGTCACAGTGACTGCCACCAAAGTGACTCCGGTCTCGGTGACTCCGGCCAAAGTGACTCCGGCAACAATGACGCCACAGTGACTCCGCCGTTAGTGACAGTGCCGCTACAGTGATTCCGTCCTGCCAGTGGCTGCCGCCGCACATGGCCAAAGTGACTGCGCGTCCACCCACCGGTCACAGTGACCCCAGTCAAAGTGACTGCTCACCCACCACCAAAAGTGACTGTCCGTCCAACTCCGTAAATCGCCGCCACTTTCCGGCCACCGCCATCTGATCCACTTTCCCAACGCCCAAAACCCTCCCCGATCCCCGGCCCCATTTCCGGTCACCAGTCGTCCAGCCCCCTTCCCTGCCCCTCCCCCCGTCCTCCCCCAGACCAGATCGCCCAAAAGCTTGGCCGCCTTACCACCACCCCCACCACCATGGAACGCTCGTCGCACCCCCACCAGAAGCATAAGCACCAAATCAGAGTCGTCGACCACCAAAATGGAAGATCCGGCACCGGCGGTCCCAAATTGCAGCCTCCGTCCATCATGGACGATAGATCCGGCACCTGTGACATCTGCTACATCAAAGACGACGGCAGATCTGGCCGAAAAAATCGACGGATCTGGCCAAAGACGGCATTCTAGCAGCTCAGAGTTTAAATCTTCCTTCCGATCGAAACCTAGGAGGAGAGGGGACGGCGGCGGTTTGAAAAAGAAGAAAATAGAAGAAGTTGATAATCCGAGTTGCAGCGGCGGCGGACGAAATAACAGATGCGGCGGCGGACGAAATAACAGATGCGGCGGCGGTGCAGCGGTGACGAGGGGAGCGGTGGTGTCAGCGAGTCCTTCACCGGCAGAAATGAATCGGCGGCGACGATTCTCTCCTAAGCTCCAACTGCTTTGATCTCCCCCTTTCTGTCTGGGTCGTTGCGCTGAAACGGTAGTAAGGAGAGGTCATATTTTTCGGAAACTGGGATATGGTCATAATTTTAGAAATGAAGAGTCCGAGAGTCATAATCAGGCCATTAGACCCAGTTCGACACGAATGATTATGTCTGGGGTGCTACCAAATAAGGATATTGCTATTAATAGAGTGTAAAACAGAATAGGACGTGCGCGCGGCCCACTACAGTACAAAAAACTCGTGGTTCATCATAAAAGGACCCAAAAAAATTCGGAATGAGCTTGATTATACAAACTCTATTCTCTAACACCTTACAGGTTTAACACTTTAACATCCGGTTTAGTGAACCAGGTGGTATACAGGAATTACTTGTTTGGATCTACGTCGTTCATAAATTTAACCTTTTGTCTTAATTTCCTTTATTCATCTTAATAAGTTTAATACTTCGTATATTGTATTATTAATAAATTAATTATATGTCCTTTAATGTAATTTCAAAATATCCCGACATCTTTTCAGCTCATTTTTTCAAACGGATTTGCTTCATTCAGTTAGTAGTTCAGGTTCAGCACTTCGAAGTTCAGTTCCAGACTGTAGTCTTTAATTTAGGCAATAGCTCATAAATCAGACAATAAACTCTAGCTCCAGCTCGTTGTGCAATATTTTACGTTATTATTACTCTATCACTATTCAATATCAACTACATAAACTCACTTTTTTAGTAATTGTGTTACCCTCTCTTTTCCAATGTTAGTGGGATAGAGGCAGTATAAGTCATTTAGGAGTTATTACAAGTCATTGGAGTATTTTGACTTTTTTCAATAGTTGGGATTATTTGGAGAAAAATGATGTTTTGGATGATTATGAGCATATTACTAATAGTTGTGATTATTCATGTCCATTTTTCCTTACTTATATGTGCACGTACATTTTATATGGACGAACAACTCCATTTGTACACAAGTGTACACTTTTTATAAACTCGTCTGTGTACATAGACAATTATTTCTGTCCCAAGTCTCATCTATCCTTTTTCGTCCATCCCACTGAGAATGTCTCATACCAAATTTGGTTGAATTTATGTGGGTTAAATCATTCATACTTTATTTTTACTTTAATTTATCGCTTCAATATTGACCACATAAATTTAGTTTTTTTAATAATCATACCACCTCCTCATGTTCCAATGTTAGTGGGATGGATGTAGTATATTTTTAAATGAGATGAACGTGTACACGGATAAAATAGAGACAGTGTTAAATGTCCCACACCGGAAAAGTTTGGATGAACGAAGTGCTATATTAACACATGGGCTACTCTTCCTATCAGGTTGACCTTTTAGGATGGAACCCCGGGTCTTAACATGGTATCAGAGACAATTCTGGTTGTGGTTTGACGGCTTGTTTAGCACCCATGATTAAAGGTAGCTTGTTAAGGGTTTGTTTGGCCCGTTTAAACCCCCCGATTGTCCAGCCCGGTTCGGGCTGAGGGGGCGTGTTAAAAGCATTTGTCTCACACCGGAAAGCTATAAAATAATTAAACATTATATAAAGCTTTGGGCTACTCCTCCTATCAGGTTGACCTTTTAGGATGGAACTTCATGTCTTAACATGGTATCAAAGCCAAATCGATCCATGGTGTGGGGCCCCTTATGTAAAATGATAAAAAACGGCCAGATGAAAAAAAACGGACTGATGAAAAAAAATGAATGATGACACGATCGAGACGAAGTGTCTGGTCATGATGAGGGGTGTTAAATGTCTCACACCGGAAAAAATTGGATGAACGAAGTGCTATATTAACACATGGACTACTCCTCCTATCAGCTTGACCATTTAGGATGGTACCCCAGGTCATAACATGGTATCAGAGCCAAATCGATCCATAGTGTGGGGCCCCTTATGTAAAATGATAAAAAAAAACGGCCAGGTGAAAAAAAACGGACCGATGAAAAAAAATGAATGATGACACGATCCAGACAAAGTGTCTAGTCGTGAGGAGGGGTGTTAAATGTCCCACACCGGAACCAAGTATTCACATTTGTTATCTTGAAATTTTACTGTTACACTATGATATTATGTTGAAATTTCAACATAATACAAAGTGAATACAAATGTGAATACAAAGTGAATACATTATATTGTATTTCTAGACAAAGTATTCACATTTGTTATCTTGAAATTTTACTGTTACACTATGATATTATGTTGTAATTACCAGACTTTAAATATGATAATATACTGCCGTAAGTGGCAATTTTCTCAAACATGACAATAATTATTCATATTCGGTAAATAAAAGACATAATACTCTTATAATCTTATTTTTACTTTCATTTAGAACAATTTTTTAGGTATATAGTTTAGCAATCTTAGCTAACTACTCTGTTGGTTCTCGCGATTATTGGAGATGAAGTGCTTTCTTTTCGGTGAAGATGTCAAGGAAAATTCGTTGGGATCGTCAGATCAAATTCTATAATAGTTGGGGGATGAAACAAATGTGAAGATGTACTTCATGAAATTCACGAAATAGATGTGAAGGATACAAAAATTGAGGGATACCTCTATTTGACATGTTTGATTAATATGGATATGTGTCTCATGGGTATGAAAATAAGTGAGGTAGATAGCTACCCGTACTTTTATAAAAATGCTACTTGTACATGTTTTGTGTACTCATTCCGTACATTTATGCAATTATTGATAATTTTGTACTAAGTGTCTATAATGAAAATTAGGTATAAATAAAAAGTGAATACTTTTTTTTGTGTTCACTCTGTTAAGACATGGGGTTTCATCCTAAAAGGTCAAAGTGTAACAGAAAAATTTCAAGATAATAAACTATTTCTCTTTAGGTAAAAATGCAATATATGATATAGTACATTGTTTTTACTTCTATTTCGAGATTTTTCCTTACTTTTAAGAACCCTTGAGTCATATTGCTCCTTTCGAAATGTCCATGAATATAATCCCTCTACTCCTTGTGAGTAGTCAGTTGATTTATGTTTAAACCCCTTCATAGTCCTTTTAACAACCCCTTCACCTCTAAGGTTGCAAATTTGCAGTCAAATGTTCTTAGTAGTGATTTAATAGTGGATCTACACTAGAATTGTGGTGTGCTAGTTTAGGCCAATAAAATTTCTTTTTAAATTATTTAGTGTAATCCCCATAGTTAACCAACTCATTGTAGTTTTAAAATCTCATATAATCAATCTTCGATCAAGCCCAACTCAAGTTTGTCGGCCCCCCGATGCACCCATCAATATTAGGACATCAAATCGAAAAAATCAACATGTAACCCTTGAATCAATAACACTAACAACCATATGAATGTTGTCAAATTCATATCAAGAGATTGGTTTCATTTGGGAGCCCTTTCACATTGCTAACCATAAGACAATATTTTACAAAGATGATATTGTCATAACTTTAACGTCGAATGTGACGATTAGGGATGGATCGGGTCCGGTTCCGGATCCGGGTCGGGCTATGAGCGGGGCTAGTGATGGGTCCGGGTCAAGTCGGGTCGGGCCAAGGCCCAGACGGGTCTGGATGACAATGGTTTAGGCCCGGGAAAGGCCCGATTGTCTACCGGCTCTGGACCGGGCCTGGTCCGGTTCTATTTTTTTCTTGATTATTTCATCCCCTACCCCCCCCCACTCCCCCAAACCCATCAGAAACACCTAGCCCATTTAAACTCAGCCCATATTAAAAAAAAAGGCCCGAACCGGGCCTGGCCCGGCCGGGCCAATTCACATTTACTCAATCCCAAAACCGCCCCAGTTTCATCCCTTAAACCGGGCCTAGACTCGGAACCGGTACCCGGTTCCAGGGCCGGGCCCACACAGTACCAGGCTGGGCTTCCCGGGTCGGGTGGACCGCACCGAGGCCATCCGGGTCCGGGTGGCCCGCACTAAGAGCGAGACCGGGTTTGGGAACTGGAGGCCCGGTACCCGGCCCGGCTAGGTTCCGACCTTCCGGGACCAGGCCGGGCTACCCCTCAAACCACCCAGCCCCACCCGCCTAGCACCCCAATGACCCAATCCATTCGAAAAATTTTTTTAAAAAATGGGCCCGGGCCGGTCCAACAAATTGGCAGCCCGTGCCCCCCCCCCCCCCCCCCCCCCCCCCCCCCGTCGGGCCCAAGGCTCGGTCCTGAGCAACCAGTTCGGGCCGGTTCGGTCAACTCGGGCCCGGTCCATCCCTAGTGACAATGTCTTTGAGAGAAAAGTAAATGTTAGAATGTTATGTGTAGAAGTGTAGAACATAATAGTATCATGTTGAAAGAAGATGGATGGGAAGATGAGAATTGTGTGAGGGGGGCAAACAAATTATGGGGAATATATATTTTAATATTTTAATGAAGTGTAGTTTCCTTTTGGTATCATTGATATTTTTTAGGGAGAACTACCAAATAAGCCATCAAACATACATAAAAAGTGCAAATCACCCCTTATAGAGAAAGCTATGTCCTGTCGTCGCCATTTGGGGCGGTTCCCGGTGAAATTTTTTGATGAATTTTTTTGAGCATCTTATTCATTAAGTCTAGTTTACTCATACCAAATTTCAGCTAAAAATTCAACCAGAAAGGCATTCAATTGATTTTCTGAAATATACTGCGCTGTTATCTTCAAAAATTCATTTGACTGCCTTCTCGATTGAATTTGTAACTAAAATTTGGTATGAGTAAACTAGACTTAATGGCGACGGACGAACGGAGCCTCCTATATAAGGGGTGATTTGCACTTTTTATGTAAGTTCAAGAGCTTATTTGGTAGTTCTCCCTATTTTTTATGTTTTTTAGTTTGAGATGACAATGTATGACTAGGAATGGACCGGCCCAACCAGGCCCAGTGACCGGGTCCTGGACCGGTCCGGGTGGACCGCACCGACTGTTAGTCATAGCGGGCTCAGGTCAGGCAAAAATGGAACCAGCCCGTCCGGGCCAGGCCCGGTTCAGTCAATTTTTTTTTTTTTTCATTGTTTTTCCCGGGTAGGGCTGGGTGTTTTTTTGGGGGGGGGGTCGGGGGTTAATTAGAAAAGCAAAAGAAGAAGAAGAAAAATTGAACCGGCCCATCCAGGACCGATTTTGGGCCTCACTTCCCAAAAAAAAGCCCGGTCAAACCCGGCCCGGTACCCAACCCGGTCCGGAACCGGTCCAACCTTATATATGACTGACGATCTTCGGAATCCATGATAACAATATGATTTCATAATGAAAGCATTTGGCTAGAATTCTATGTGCTTAAATGAATAAATTTTAGGTTTAGAATTGTGAAAATGAAGTAGTACAACTGTACAAGTTATTCTATTTTTTACTACTTACTAGGGTTTCCAACGAGTTTTAAATCCACACATTATTGAGGTATTGAATTGTGTATAAGAATAGATCGATGGTCAAATTATAAAAGTGGAAGAGCACATGAACCTTTGTCCCACCACTCCCACCACATTTTACTTTGCCAAAAATGGAAGAAGCAGAAATAATCAAAGAACATTTTCAAAACAGAAAATAGAGCTAGAAATCAAAGACGTTGGGATTTGGGAATTATACTTGAGCTATGATAATATAAATTATGAAGTATAATAATCGTCTGCAATCATCTATTACAACTTTGTGTTCCATTTGTAACTTTCAATTTTATTCTTCTCAATCAACATAACTTCACTTTATTTTCTAATTTCGAGTATCAATTTGTATTCACTTCTACGGAGTATTTTTTAGATTTGATTTTTGCCATATAATAGATTTTTTTGTCTAGTTTCTAGATACACTCATAGTCTCACACACAAGTTTTCATTGATATCACTAATCTAAAATTGTCTAGCAATAAGTACCTTTATGCTCAACTAAACTCGCTACACCGTTTATTTGCAAATCAATGGAGCATGTAATAAGAAATTGAAAAAGAATGTAACATAGAATCTGAATCCCATAATAATAACATACACGTTTATACAATTAAAACATAGGTTTTCATCCCAAATCAGGGATACCGTCGTCTCCTCTAACCCCTAAAATATAGCGGGAGAATGAAATCACAAAACATTTAAATCTAATTAAAGTAAAACCTGCACAGCATAACTACAAACGAGACAGATATACCATACTATAAAAGGCTTAACGAGAAGTCAGGGGAGCTGAGGGGAGCATTTCTAAAACTAATATAGTCAAACATATAGAATATTTATATACGTAATAATAAAAGATTAGTAATACGGGAATGAAATGAGATGTTTTTTTTTAATATCTTTTTCTTCTCTTTTTTGTGGATTGGGAACTTTTTTGTTCATGCACTGGGTCAGTCTTAAAACCAGCTACTGGATTGCGATATTTCTCCAGGTCAGCAATTCAACTCAAGTTCTTGGCAGGTTAATCCGGGTCAAATGCTAAAACAGCTCAACAGGTCAACAAACAAACCAAATATACAACCATCATGGTTAAACCGTTCCAATAGGATCATTCAGGGCAATCCAGGTTTTAAACCATTGATGCCAATATTCAATTTGAGTGGGGGCAGCTACGCCTGAAATTTGGCAGTACCAACTAGCTTTAACATTGGCTGCTAAATTGCTAATGACAAAATGTCATCATATATACTTCCTTAAATAGACACTGCTAAATGGTTTAACATTGGCTTGCCGAAGTCAAGACTTTCAGCACTAAAACTTGGTGTGCTGCTACTATATGTCTGGTTCATTAACCTATTTTGTTACCACATATATTCAAGAAGTGAAATAATTTATTAAATAATACATGGTGTAACAGTTGAAATACCATACAAAAACACTCATTCAGAATTCCATACTCCCCTAATCCCCAATAAAAATTTCATTGTGGATGTAGGCATCACATTACCTCTTACTTTTATCCAGAGCTGAAGAAACTCGGCAAGATGGGCTATATATATAACATTGGAACCTTCAAAGAAAGACGAATGCATTGTTGAGCATAGCAACTATATACAGTATATATCGCGATAAAAATACTAATTTGTAGACCGTAGAGATAAGGGAAGAGAGACCCTCTCATACGAGTTGAAAGGGATTCATGCACCCCCATCCCTAAAGGACTAGAGACAGATCAGTAAGACTTCAGTCTTCTCCCTGAGGCCACTATAAACCTGCGAAGTATCATTGGAGAAATGACTAGTCATATTCACTGGTACTATACAAAAGCAGTTACATCATCTTTCAATTTATGTGCAGATTATATTCATAGATCCCAAACAAAAGCTAAATAACACAAACACCAAGATGTACAATAATAAAACCAAGCACTCCGCATATCATTTGTAGGCTCTATACATATAATACCTAGGTCTTTTCAGAGAAATTTAACATTCCTCAGCACTGGATGCTGAAGGGAACCACAGACTCTTCATTTCAATAGTGTCCAGACCTTCTGCAACAGATGACATATCATCGCCTTTCGAATCCAGCTCCCCTGGATTCATCTGCTGTACCTCCTCCTTCGTGTAGATACCAATTTTACGAACAATACCACAAAATTCTCTGTTTCAAAGAAATAGGAAGATAACATTTTTAGTCATTTAAATATACTTGACACGGTAGGAAAAAGAAAACATTATTATTTGTTAGTGCTTGGAAACTGAGAATCCGTACGTCCATGGATCATCTCCCACAAGCATCATATCACCCTCATCATCAGTATACACAACCATCCAATTCTTGTCTTGAGACATAAGTTCACCATTGAAGTCAAACAGCTGGTCTAGTTTTGCTATCAATTCATCATAGCTCTTAAAAATGGAGAGATCCACAGACCTTCCAAGGGCTGTGCCCTGTTTCTGAACCTGAGCTTAAAAACAGTTGTCTGAAGTTGTTACAAATCAATCTTAGAAAATGTCATAAAGAAAATAAGCACATCAATAACAGGGGGGAAATGAAACCTTGGTGCAACTCCTTGTAGAACCACTGTAGATTTTCCCCTCATTTTCTCTACCATCCGGGCAAAAAGATTGATATCTTTTCTTTTGCTCATTGCCAGTAGGTCGACAATCTAACTCTTTAGAAACCTTGGCCTTCTTTTCAAGACTTTCATTTAGCTCAATTGCAGCGGAATGAAGGGAGTTCATACCGGCATGGATGTGACCTGACTCAAACACTGTGTTTATGGGTACAGCAGAGCTATTACCTATGAGGGGTATGCCAAAAAGTTTGCAGTTCTCATCATTTGGCTTCATGACCTCAAGTTGTTGCAATGGTTCGAATGTAAACAATGGATCTCTGGAATGAGAAGGGGCTTTCATCTGAGACATTTGTCGGGGAGTCAACCAGTTCCTTTGATGATATTCTAGTTTGTTACCTGGTAGCACAAAATAATTGTTGTTACCCCCATACCAATAGTCTCCTCGTGGTTGATATGGAATATCAGAACTTTCTACATGGTTTTCAGTGTTTGCATCTGTCAAATTCAGTGACAGGCCCGAGGGCACAATAGACCATTGCTTCCCAAGTAAGCTACACTCTCGTTCTTGATGCTGAAGTGTATTTTGCTTCATCGAACTTGCATCAACTGCAGACTCATCCCCAGACTGTAAACAAAAATCATGTGAGGGGTTCATTTGTGTGCCAACACCTGATAATAAATCTGAGAAACAAGGTTGCTTGATTCTTTCTGATGGAAACCGTTTGTCTGAACCATATCGGCGTGCTGTGAAAAGATTGTTAATCTTTTCATCATCTAAAGATGGTGCCCATCCTATTGGCTTATCAGACGGGTCTGACTCACTAACTTCTGCAAAAGAACCACCTATCATGGTTGACACTTCTTGACCTTGCAAGACCTTTGAAAGCCCAGCGGAAGTTGTTGGAGAGTCTATGGATGTTTTGAATGAAGCTATACAAATTAAAAACATATATGAAGCTTAGTAAGCTTGAATGATAAAGAAGATAGGTAAAGAAGGAAGGATATAAAAGAAAGGATAAGTACTACCTTCTCTTGCAAGGACAGGGGAATCGGGATGTAAAAAAGTGGGCCGGTGCCTTTTTTGTCTAGGTACCGGGAGTGGATTTGGTGAAGGAGGAGAAAGAGCTTGCTCTATTTTCCAAGGTGAAACCCTGTCAGGTCTAGGAACTGTCGAAGTTTCATCCCACCGCACCTAAAGATAAGAGGACAGAACCTTTTGGCATCATAAATGAAATTTATCCAAAATTCGCTCCCTCTAATATGAAAAGGGTATTAGTACCTTCAGACATCTCCATTTTGATTCAGGCCACTTCTGGGGATCACAATCTGCAATGCCAACAATGGTCCCAGCAAATCTAAGTACATAGGGGGTTACCACCATATAACATTCACACAGCATTAGCAGCTCTCCTAGAATTTATAGATAGAAAAAACATGTAACCATAGATGTACAAATACACTAGACATACCTCTGCTCAGGAGCTTCTTCCCCTTCAAACCTCATTTTAAATCTCATTCCTATGGAGTGATTGTTTCTAATGGACTCCATGTACTGATCATATGGAATGATAAATTCAGCAGGGCTTGTCCTGTAAAAACACATTTACAAGTTAGTAAAGTGATAAACTATGGGCGAAAAGGATAAATGGATTTTTCATTCATGCGATTCTGCAGACCTGGGCTTGTAGTATATAGTGAACATGGTTTTAGTCTGAATGGCATGCCATGCTGTCGCCAGAACCCCAAGGTGCATGCTGTGACTGGATATAACAGATGACGGAGAAATACCCTGCTGTCTCATGGCCCGCCTTACACCAACACGGAGCTCCCCATTCTCACCTCTGACAACAAATTGATAATAACACAGGAACACTCATTTTGTCATTTGGTTGTCCTGAAAAAATTATGATATCTAGCACAAAGAATGGCTACCAACCTTAGAAATATGAATGCATCCCCTGCAACAAGCCTTTTTGAACTAACAAACACACTCCAACCACTTTGAAGGAGGTGCCTTTTTGGTTGCCCTAGATTAAGTTCGCAATACGCAATGTAATATTTATTACAGAAATGGCAGAACCAAAAGATGAACAAGAAAAATGTAAAAAGAACATAAATCTTCTACTACCTCCGTCCTGTTGAAAGGTTCCCATAGCAAAACGGAACGCTTATTTAATGAAATGGGGAGAAGTGATTAAATAAAAGTTGATAGTGTTTGAGAAAAAAGTGATTTTGAAAAGTAAAAGTGGGTAGTGTTTGGTAAAATAAGTGCTTTTTGTGTAATAGAAAAAGTAAAAGCACTTTTGACGCGGAAGCCGAGAAAAATAAAAGTTGTAGTGTTTGGGAAAATAAGTGCTTTTTTAAAGTCAAAAGCTGAGAAGTGCTTTTTTAAAAGCAGTTGCAAACAGACCCTCAGACAATAATTAAATAAGATAGTTTGTGTATATTTTGAGAAATAATTTTAATAGGTATATAATATAATGGGGTTAATGTTGATAATTGTAATGTTATAAATGTATTATTTTTAGTATGTAATGATAAATTTGTCATTTAAGATTGTTAACTGTTTCCTAAAATGGAAATGAGAACCTTTATATGAGACATCCAAAAAAGGAAAGTGGGAACCTTTCTATGGGATGGAGGGAATTACTACTTATGAACAATGCAACACTACTGTAACTTAAAAGAAAAAAGACTCAAGTATGAAGCAGTTGAACATAAGAAGCATTTAGTATTCTATTCGCTAATTGGTTAAAGATCAAGTCATTGGATTATAAATATAAATGCACAGGAAATGCAGTGCGTGGTGATTATCCATATTTGCCTTTATTGATTAAAGTATGAAAGTATCACGAGCATCATAGTTCATTAAAATTGGAATTTTGTAAATATACCCCGGAATATATGTCTGAAGCGCCACTCATTTCCATGCAAATCTTTGGTCACCAACTCCTGAGTTGGAGGCTGCCTGGACATGTCCTGTCACAGATCAGCAATAATTCGAATTAATTTAATATGCAAATAATCTTTCAGAAACACATTATATTAACTGATAACACATATATAGACAGTAATAAAGTCTCATAAATATTCTAACCAGTGGGGGGAGACATTCATCTGCATGCCGCCTAAGCACAGAAAACCCACCATGTGTGCTGGTATCTGACGCAGTCAGAGTTTTACAAAAAGAATATACATGAAACTGTGGCAGTGGAGATGGCATGGATCCCCCCTTCACAGAATTCTCATCTTGCTGCCAACAATCACATGTAGGTATTACATTAAATCCTGGTTGAGAATGCATTAGTAGGTATTTGACTTTGTATGAATATAAATTACATTTGGTTCAGGCATCAAGGTCACTTGGGCATAAACCTCATCTGTATCTGGTTCTGCCTGAACATTTACAGGATTATAACATCAAGAGATAATGTTGAGAAGAAATCATTCTAAAATCTGAATATTAAATGTAAAAACCCTTTAAGAACACAACAATAGGTTCATATTAACAAACATTGCCTTCAAAAGGACGTTGGCAACACGGCAAAGTATCTTGGGAGGAAGATTATACACAGGCATTTGCTGGTCAGCCACTTGATTAGTGGATGCTTCAACCTACGAAACGGAACCATTAAAAAATCATTTGATTAATAAAACCCAATTTGTGGCTATGGACAGTCAAATTCCAAGTCAAAAGAGACCTATAAGGAGCTCAGCAAATATTGTCAAATAAATATAAACGAAGAGAAAAAAAACACAGTACTAAAAGCATTTAAGTGGAAAAGATAATTGAGCGCAACAAATGCTTCAAAGGCGTATAGAACACCAACCTGCTCTATATGTCCTTGGGGGAAATAAAACACCAGTTCCTGCTCTCGTGGCACAGTCACCAGCGGCCCAGCACAAGCCCGCCATAGCTCCATGTACAAGGCCGACTCAGTTTCACCTAATCCGAAAAGAAAAACAAATCCCGATGAATTCAAATGCATATGCGCGCGTGTGTGTATATATAATCAGCTCAGAATCTGAAAAGACCGTTGTTTCCTACAAATAGAGAAACACGACTGACAACAACAGACAGAGGCTCGTATGTATAATTACCCTTCCCTGCAGCGGCGGGTCGTGAGCCGTCACTCGGCTGAGCGAAACCTCCGATCGAAACCTCTGAGCTAGCCATAATGGTGCGTGCGCTTCGCAAATTGCAAGGCTACAGATCTCTCATCTCCCCGACGCCCTTGTTCCACGGCAAGGAAATATCCGGATTTGGTAGCTTTCTCACTCTACGTTCTGTGTCTGCTCTATTATTAGTCTACTGTGTGGTAAGCATTTTCGGTTCTTCACGTATGGTGCTGCATTTTATGACTGAGCTCGCTCCAGTGTTTCTTTCTTCCTAATCTTGAGATTCGAGACGAGGTAAGAATTCGGTCAAACCATAATGAAAATGGTAAAAGTGTTTACATATTCCTAGTATTATTATTACGGAGTATTATTTATTACTACCTCCGTCCCTGATTGTTCTTCCAAATTAAAGTGGCACGGTGATTAAGAAAGTGAGAATTGTATGGTGGAGAGTTGTGCAGAGGAGAGAGAAATGATGTGAACCACAAATTCTTTGCCGAAAAGGGAAAGTGAAGTTCTTTTTGGGACGGACGAAAAGGGAAAGTTGGAAGTAAATTTAGGGACGGAGGGAGTACTAAAAATCGACTCTCTTCAGATTCGTCCTATTAAAATTGAACTACACTCCTATGAAAATGGGGCTTTCTGCCTTTCTAAACTTTTTCATATACTCCCTCCGTTTTCAAAAGAAAGTCACGGTTTGACTTCACGATTATTAAGGAAATAAATTGACTTTACTGTAGAAAACACTGTTTAGACATTGTTTGACACTGTTTGGATACTGTTTGGCACTGTTTCACACTGTTTGGCACTGTTTGAATGTAGATTTCTTTGTCAAATAAGGAAATAAGGGAAGTGTGACTTTGTTTTTGAAACATCCCAAAAAGGAAAGTGTGAGTTTCTTTTAGAAACGGATGGAGTATCAATTACGGTAGTATGGGATGTTATGTCAATTGGCAGTTGTTGGCTGATTGGTAACGGCAGATTCTGTTGGTTGTTTTGATTAGTTGATAATATTAGCCGTTTATAAAACAGTGTTTGGTTATATGGCTGTTTGCAATCGGCTGATAATCTGTTTGGGATTATTATTTTCAATTTTTCCTTACTTTTAAGGACATCAAGTAATTTGTTTTGTTTACTTACTTTTATACTACTTATATCAGTAGTCAGTACTTGCTTCACACATTTTGCTAAAATTATTAATAGAGCTACTTAATCCGTTTTTATTTAATAAAAATAAAAGTTTTTCAACGCATGCTTTTACCAAACATGTCCCAACATTAAACTCGTGCAGTCGTGCAGTGGCTTCAAGTTTATATTTTATTATATATAAATTTATTTAATTAATTATCTAGTCATGATAGCCATAGTTATACATTATTGGAGGCATTCTCCCGCTGCACCAATAATTACAATACTTTTTTTTTTTTGCTTAAGGCACAATATGGAAAACGAAGTGACGAAGGCAACAGGGAAGTAATGCGGGCACAATAGGAATTCACTATACGGTTATATTTGGCGGACATAAGTCACTGACTTCTAGCTTTTGTACTGTTCAAAAAGTTCCTAAAAGCTTCTAGTTGTGTGTTTGACATGACAATATTTAAGAGCTTTTCAAAAATTAAATGATCTTTTTTGAGATGCTACCAAGAGTAGCATCTAAGAAAAGCTAGTGACTTTTAGTATTAATTAATCCTAACAGTTTGTATACTAAACCGAACTAAATCAAACAGTCAGCTTTTCATCAAACAGCTACCACATTTTATTTTTAAGATCTTTTCAGTCACTAAAAGCTAATAGTTATTAAAAAACTCACAAAAATATCTTTTCAGCTAGTTGTGCCAAACATGCCCTACATATTCCAATGGCCAAGTGCAAAACGCTAGGTTACATAGCTTTTTAAATTTTAGCGGTTTGAGATAAAAAGCAAAGGCATCGTTTGTTTCCTAGCGGATTGGTACCCACCCGCTACAAAAAGCAGCGTTTCCAAGTATAAAAACATTAGCGGTTTGGCTAATCCGCTGCCTTTCCAAACGGAGCCAAAGTGAAAAAGCCAATTAATCAAACACCTCAATTAGCTCTTTATTTGGTCAAAAGTCTAAAAGTGGTCAAATCAGCCAAAAAATGCATGATGGCCTCCTAACCAAACTCCCCCTATACTAATAAGAGTAATGATTAACCTAGTTGCTTGTGGGTGGATTTTTTTTATAAAATATTGTGAAAATATTTCTTTTATAAAATTTAGATTATATTCAAAAGTTTTAGTTAAACTTCAATATGGAAGTGAGTTAAATAAATTATTGAAAAATAATGTGCGAAAGTGTATATTCAAAAACATAGTGTTTTTCAATATTTATTTCACTGAATTTCCGATTAAATTTTAAGCCGAAAATCTGTGAATATAATATACACTTCACGAATAACATATTTGCAACATTTCATATAAAAAAATCACCGAAAAATACCTCAATTCGGACATCGGTCCCCATCAGAACTACGGACATGAGGACATGTGTAGCATAATTTTTTTAACCCCAGGTGAGTCGAGGGAGGGGGGTGGGGGAGCCCGAACTAAACACTGCTGAAACTCGCTCAAAGGAGTTTCAAACTCGAGACCTCCCATGTGGATAGTAAGTTGGAGACTAGTTGAGTTCGACCACTTCATCATATAATTTTTATTTGAGAAAAGGATCAAACGAGGTCTTATACTGTTATGAAATCGTCACAGAAGATCATATACTCAATAAAGTTTCATATAAATACGTCTACTTATAAAAAACAATTGGATGAGTCCTAACGACCTGTTGACAACCTCATGATCACGGTTTAGCGTACTCTGATTATCTTTTTCAAATAGATTATAAGGCTTGCGTGGAATGTTTGACTAGGATTAACTTAAATACAAGGCAAAAATAATGACATGTAAGTTAAATTTGGGATTAGGAGGTTGTCAACGGGTCATTTTGGCTCATGTGGTTGCTTTTTATAAGTGGACGTATATATATGACATTTTATTGACTACGTGACCTAATGTGATTATTCCTTAATCGTGGAAGACCTTATCTGACCATTTTCCCTTTTTATTTTTATTTCTGCACTATCAATCAATAAAGTCAGCTTGCATATGTTATACATATCGGGTTTGTAAAACATTACTTAAATTATTATAAGCAATGTCCATTTGTTGCTGTGTTCTGAATAACTATAAAATTCTAAAATACACATTTCGGTATGCAAAAATTAAAATTTGATTTAATTATCTTTCTTACATTTTTCCATTCAAAAAAATTAAACATAAAGGAAAAATAAAATGTATTATTTTAATCATTGGATTTCAATTTGGGGCTCCTCCTCCTATCGACGTCACTAGGGACCACTACCTACATAATATTATCACTGATTTTCTTTCTTCCTCTATGGGAGGTAATCTTCTCCCTCAAATAACGACTCTCACCTTTCACTCTTTATTTCCCCTCCTCAAATTTTCATCAATGTAATAATAAAATAAGAGTCAAAATTTCTATTCAACACTCTTTTGACTCCAATTTTCTCTAGGACTACAGATGATCTAACACTACCCCTATCTCTATATTATCAATAATTTCAAAATAATTGCTCAAAATTTAAATAAAACATAAGCAAAATTCAAAATAAGACTGTATAACTATTTCCTTCCCCAAATGGGAGACTTATAATCTTATTTTAAAAAATAAAAGAATAAAAACTTCCCTGAATAGAATTGCATACGAGTCCTATTTTTAGAAGAAATCAATTATGATTTATATATACTCCTATTTGAGAAAAAGTAATACTACGTATGTTTTACTCACAAATACTACTTAGTTGATTTTCTCTACTATGTGAATATATGGTTTTCCTTGCAATTCAACATCATCAATAATTTTACTTTGTGAGTTAATAAAAAACTACTACGGTAGTTTGAAGTAAAAATTCAATTATCTTCTTACGAAAATGCTATGAAATTATTTTAACTATTGAAATTCAATTTGGATCGTTGGATCAACTTTTCCCACCCCAGGCACCCCACACCCACCCACCTTTTATTTTTCTTTATAAGGGAGTCAATTGAGGATGGAGAAATCCACTCCATACTCTCACTGATCCATATAATCACCCCCAAAATATCATCAATGCAGTTTGCACATAAATGGGATTTGATAATCTCATTTTTCACATTTTTTTCTTCATAAAAAGGCCCAATGTAAATGGTCTAACAGGAACGTCCACTCAACTTCTTAGTTGGATTATGTGATAGAAAATCACCTATGTCATAACAAACTAAATCAAGTACCTAGAGACTCATCAAGCATCAGGGCCAGGGTATCAGCCAACTTGTCAACAGTAGCATTACCCTTCATAGCCATAACTGTAGTGCTCACAAAGTCAAAGAAATCTTCTGCATACTGGTCAAGAGTGTTGTACACAGCATGGATATCCATCTCATCCAAATCTTTCGCGTGTCTTATCTACGAGCATAGCTTCTTCCAATTTGGTCCAAGTGCCGATAGGAATCTCACATTCAGCTCCATGTTGAATTTATGAACACCTATCTTTCTCATTTCATTGATGAGGTGCAGAAATATGATGTAAGTATCTTCGAGCGATTCTCCGAGTTTGGCTTCGAGCGAAATCTTTCCTTGCTTTCACTCCTATCTCAGTCCTCTGCATGATTTTGAAGATTTCATCCCACATCTCCTTTGGAGTTGACATACTATCAATCTGCATGTAGATGTCGTTCAGGATGGCCTGAAGCAGGGAGGTCTTAACAAGGAGATCTGCACGGAGTCTAGCTTTGTCTTCATCATCATATTCTTCAGCAGTCTTGGGTCTCATTCCATCACCAACGGGAGGGTTATTTTCTTCATTCCTATCAATAACAATCAGTAGCTGAGCGGGGCCATTAGTTATGGAATCCAACAGTCTAGAAGATTGGTCCTTGCTCTCTAGGAAATTAAGAAATCTGTTTTTCCACACATCGTACTCGCCTCTTCGCAAGATTGGGGGTCTAGTTTCGTTTCCGATCAAAAGAGCATCCATATTGGATTTGATCGGGCTGATAAGTTGATTGTTGAGTTCCTGTTTTTGTTTAAGTGCAATTTCCAGCAGTAAGTTCATGCATTGTAAGTTCACGCACAACAGGGTCCACACACGGAGATCTTTCGTGCACGTCAAAGGATTGCACACGGAGGTTCGCTCGCCTGGTTTGCGCACAGAGAGCTTCGTGCACGCCTAGTTTGGCGCACTGGCTAACTTTCGCGCACAAAGGCTTTCTCGCACGAGGAGACCGCGCACAGGGGATTGCACAGCTGTTGTTTGTGCACGAGATGTTTGCGCAACAAGGATCCTTTAGCACGGGGAGAAGTCACACAAGGACGATCACACACAACAACCTTTTCACGCAAGGAGGATCACACATGGAGAGATCACGCAAGGAATTTTCAGCTTAAACTTTGCGCATAACTTCTTTCGTGCAGGAGAAGAAGTTCGCGCACAAAGCTTATGCGTGAAACTCTGTTTCGCGCTGAGAGAGATGCGTGAACCTCCAATTTCGCGCTTCCTCGGCTTAACCCGTACGCCAACAGAAAGAGTGTCGATATTGCACAAAATGAAGCACAACAATCACAATAACAGTATCCCAAACTCATTTTCCTGCAAAAACAACAACAAAAATAGTACTGAAAGTCGCGCAAGAGGCAGAAAAATGCCGATGGGGTTCGCGCACGACTATTTCTTCCGTCTGCAATCTAACGATCAGCTCCGTCTCTGATACCAGATGTTAGGTCCCTGTTTTCTAGTCTATAATGTATGAAAACAGATCAAAGGGGATGAAGGAAGCTTTCCATTGAAGAGGTGAAGTTTACATAATGATATTGCAACTTAGTATAAAACTTCTCTCGTGTAAATAGGCTCTATGTCTCTCAGGTGGAATAATTCTTAGAAAACTTAACCTAGCCATTTCTAAGAGGTCTATTTATAGCCTCCATAGAATGGTAGGTTTACAATGATATGGGCTCTCTTTTTGAGGAGGCTCATTCATATTTTAGCTCATTAGTCCTTTCCAGTTAAAGCCTAATAATTACACAATAAATACTACAAATAGGCTAGATAAAATACATTGATCATAATACTAAAAATATCACTAACAGCTATCAAACGCCGTTGCGTGCTCCCCTTCTCGTCGCGGCCGTTTGAGTTCTCTGACTGAGCCGCCACCCTTCTTCTTCTCTTTTCATCTCGTCTGCAATTCTATCTTCGTCAGTTTGGATCACCTTCATCATTGTCATCTTCGATGGAGTCACCGTCGCTCAAAATCCGACCAAATCTGTAAATTTCCAGCGGCTAGATTTCCAGATTCAGATGGCGAGGGGTTTGGTTGGGTGGTGGGGCGGTGGCTGACGGATGTAGGGGGCCGATGAGGAACCGACAAGCGGCAGCGACAGGGGCGGACCGGGTTGTGCTTGAATGAGTGGGAGTGTGCGCTATGGAGGCGGTGGTGGGGTGGTGGTGCCGAAGGGGTAAGGGGGCAGGGATGGGGTAGTGGAGAGATGGGTGAGGCAGGGGGGTTGGTGACGCAGGAAATGGGGTTGGATGAGGTAGGGGTTGGGTTACGGTGGTCACCAGCGGTGGTTTCCGACTGTGGTCGGAGGTGGTGGTCGCCGACGGTGGCCGGTAATGGTAAATGGACCAACTCGGTTGGTTGGATTGGATAACTATAATTGGTCGAAATTGGGTAACTATAATTGACGCATTGGGTAATTATAAGTGACTGGTCGTGTAACTATAACCGACGAATCAAATAACTGTAACTGTAACGGGTTGGATAACTGTAATTGGACGGACGAGGGTTGATCATTGTACGGGCATGCATTTGTCACTGAACAGGCAAATGTTGGTCACTGGACGGACAAACGTTTGTCACTGGACAGGCGGACGTTGGTCAATGGACGGGTGAAAGTTGGTCAATGAACGGGTGGTCGTTGGTCAGTGGATGAGAGTCACTTTGTTAAATGGTCACTGAGCGGAAGTCACTATAAAGTTGGTAACGGTAAAAGTTGGTCATTTATTTAGTTTTATAAGGGTGAAATGGTCTCCTAACTCTTTTTAGTCACATTTTTGGAAATTAAAACAAAAAGTCACTTTTTTTTGTCCATTCTCTGTTTTTTAGCAATATTGATGGCAAAACCCAAAACCCCTTATTAAAAAAGAATAAAATAAGAATAATGAACCGCAGCAAACTTTATCAAGTATAAAGTGAAACCCGAAAATGCTGAAGTATTACATACGGAGTAAAAAAGTCCATAGTCATGTTTGAGTCAATATCTCTCCCCGTTAAGTCTCCGGTATGGCCGTATCTATGTCTGTGAGTCTGTGACTCTGCAACCTAAGTCCTCACCCGCTCTGTCTACGGCTCATATCCACTGTAAACCACCAAAACCTCCATTAGCAACCTGAACCTTAGCCTAAAACCCTAAGCTTCGGTACTGTCACCACACTCAACAGCTCCACTAGACAATTACCATTACTAAACGTTCTCCTTTACGCACAATGAATGCTTGTAGCTGGCGTGTACATGGAGCGGATTAAGAAAGCCATTATTTTTATATATTCCATAAATTGCTTCATCGCTCGTCGAACCATGTTCGTTCTTTTCCATCGATTATCGCATATCAGACACAGAGGCAAATGTCACCGTGTAAGCCCAATTTCGTACAATTTCTTGATGTTTGTTAATGATTTTATTTGCTTTTCCCACTGCTCGCTGGCCAGAAGCACCAATTATAGTACTTCTGAGGGAGCTTTCTTGGATGCCCAAATGATAAAGAAAATTGTTCATGAAGGTAGGTGGGATGATTTTGGAAGATTGGGACTCTGTGACTCTGATTTAACTTCAACTTGGGTCTCCAGAATCTTGGTGGAGTTAAAACAGGAACCTAAATTAGCTCTTAACTTGTTTAATTGGGCAAAGGCACGGATTTCATTTCATCATACCACAGAGAGTTATTGTCTGCTTGCTCACATTCTGTTCTGTTCAAGAATGTATAGTGATGCAAGCAATGTTCTAAAAGAACTGATTAGTTTGAACAATGGAAATAAGGCGGCTTTACTTGACATCATGTGGTCAACTAGACATGTCTGTGTTCCTGGTAATGGGATTTTTGATTCTTTTTTCAGTGTATTAGTAGAACTGGGATTTCTAGACGATGCATATAGGTGTTTTTTGAGGATGAGAAGTTTCAAAGTGTTTCCTAAAACACGATCTTGCAATCATCTTTTGGATAGACTTATAAAGGCAGGAAACCAAGTTATTTCCTGGAATATTTTTGAGGATATGATTGCTTCCGGACCTTCCCCAAACGTGTACACATATAATGTAATGATTGGTTATTTGTGCAAAGAAGGGAACTTGGATGCTGCAAGAAGATTATTTTTACAGATGAAAGGGAACAATGTTAGTCCCGATATTGTTACATATAATTCTCTAATTGACGGGACTGGAAAGTTAGGGGAGCTTCACGAAATGATTTATATATTTGAGGAAATGAAGGAAGCTGGGTGTAGTCCTTGTGTAGTAACATATAATACAATGATTAATTGCTTGTGTAAATATGACAAAATGGACAAGGCATTCAAATATTTGAATGAGATGAAGAGCAGTGGTATAAAACCCAACATAGTGACTTATAGCACATTTGTTGATGCTTTCTGCAAAGAAGGGATGCTGCAAGAAGCCTTTAAATTTTTTGTGGACATGAGGCGAGTTGGTCTGCTTCCCAATGAGTTCACTTATACATCCTTAATTGATGCAACCTTTAAAGCAAGGAAGATGGACGAAGTTCTGAAGCTAGTCAAAGAGATGTTGGAAGTGGGACTCAAGCTCAACATTGTTACCTACACAGTATTACTAGATGGTCTTTGTGAAGAAGGGAGGCTTACAGAAGCTGAAGATGTTTTTAGAATATTATTAAAAGACGGGATAATTCCTAATGAAAAGTCTTTCACTGCTCTAGTGCATGGGTATATGAAATCAAAAAGATTGGAAGATGCTATGAATATTTTGGAAAAAATGGAGGAAAATAATATCAGGCCAAACGAGTTACTCTATGGAACTGTTATATGGGGACTTTGCCAACAAGGGAAGTTTGAGGATGCAAAGATTTTTTTTGATGAAATGGAGGGGAGATGTATTAAAGCTTCTTCTGTGGTATTCACCACACTCATTGATGCTTTCTTTAAGGCTGGAAAATCCATAGAAGCACACAATATGCTAAATGAGATGCAAAAGAGAGATATTACCCCTACCGTGGTGACATATTGCACATTAATTGACGGTTTGTGCAGTTTGGGTTTCGTACAGGAAGCAATTGATCATTTCAATAATATGCCAAACATTGGTTTGCGACCTAATCTGATGGTTTACACAGCACTTATAGATGGACTCTGTAAAAATGCATGCCTAGAGGCTGCCAAAACCCTTTTTAATGAAATGCTTAAGAAAGGTATACTTCCGGATAAAGCTACTTACACATCTCTGATTGATGGAAACATGAAGCAGGGAAATGTGCAGGATGCCTTGTTTTTAAAGGAAAGAATGATTGAGAATGGTATTGAACTTGACCTTCTTGCCTACTCGTGTTTGATTCGGGGTCTTTCAAGGAATGGTCAAGTGGAACAAGCAAGATGTTTTCTTGGTGAGATGATTGAGAAGGGTATTCTTCCCGATGGAGTTATTTATCGGTGTCTAATAAGAAAATACTATGAGCTTGGCAATACAGATGAAGCTCTTTTCTTGCAGAATGACATGATGAAGAGGGGTTATGAATATGGCTGATGTTCAAATATCATCTTGAGTTGGTAATTAAGAGAAACTCATTCGTCCAGAATGATATAGTGACAAATGCAATTTACAGCTATCACAATTCATAAGAGATTTTGCTGTTCAACTTCAAAATAGAGCCCTGAGAGTTAAAATTTGTCTCAGCGTTTTCATGTGAATTGGAAGAGTGAAACCCAAGAAGCTTATATTGTTTCTCTATCCACACTCTGTGATCTTCAAAGCTGCGGTGAGTATTGCATCTCTGTTGCTGAAAGTTTAGGCCCTACTGTGCCAATTTATTTTTCTTGACCTTCAAGACTTCTACATCTCTCTTTACTACGTAGTATTATTTTTTGAAACCTAAAGTATATATTTAAATTTAATTTTGCATCTCATCTCAAGAAGGCAAGCTTCATGCTTTTGAAGGCTCTATTTCAGTATTTTGGGATCATAATAGTTTACCAGGATATAATTATTCCGTATTATTTTTCTGTCATGGTTAAAGATGGCGAGAACAATTTTGTTCACCCTCATTTAAGAGGGTTATGTTCACCTCCACCCCTATTTGCCTGCCATGAGGCAAGGCAATACTTTACAATTTGGCAATTGTTTTATCTTTTTCTTTTTTAATCAATTTTAAAAAAAATATATCAAATTTTTTCTTTTTTTACGATCTTTCATATGGTACTAATATTGCATATAAAAAAATCAAAAAAAAAAAATCAACTAAAAATAGATATTTGGAAATAAATGATTTTTTTTTCAAATTTTTATATATACAAAATTAGTAACATTGGAAAGATCATAAAAAACTAAAAAATCTGATATGTTTTTTTTATAAAAAATAGACTACAAATAAAAAAGTTATAACATTTTAAAGAAAAAATGGGATGAAATGCCACATGGCAATCATAGAGCAAAGGGGGTTATGTTCACCCTCCTTGGTGGGGGTGTACAAAATTGCACTCAAAGATGGCTAGGAAGTTGCTCAGAATAGCAAAAAAATCCCACCTTTATACTCCCTCCGTCCCAAAAACAACTTCACAGTTTGACATTCACACAGATTAAGAAAATAAATTTGACTTTACTGTGGAGTGCACTGTTTTGCACTGTTAAACACTGTTTGACAATGTTTGGCACTGTTTTGATGTAGATAATTTGCCAAATAAAGAAAGTATTGAAGTGTGAAGTTAATTTTGGGATATCCATTTAAGGAAAGTGGGAAGTTGTTTTTTGGACGGAGGGAGTAACTGTTTGTTTTATAAATACACAGGAAATGCCAACTTACCCACATGCAGTGAAGATAGTTTTAACTGACAACTCCCATTCACCTGTGAATGAATCAAGTCTAGTGTGAATGAATCAAGCTGTGCTTGCTGTTATGGCTATGTAATCATCATGTTAAGGTAGAAGGTACAAGACTGGTCCATGGACTGATAGAACTCAGCGGAAGGTAAGCAAATTCAGCTATGGTGTTTTTCGAAATTAATTCACATCCACTCTATGGGATTCTCGCCTTATGGAATTAACAACTTCACTGCGTAGGGCGTGAGGTGAATTAATTCCAGAAAACATCATAGCTGAATTTCCGTCAGCTAATCTAATACTAAGGGTATGTTTGGCAAATGGCTGTTAGCTGTTGTTGTTAGCTGGTTGTGTCAGCTGTTTCCTAACAGCTGGTTGTGTTAGCTGTTTTGACCGGCTGGTTATGTTAGCTGATTATAGATAACTGTTTGGTAAAATTGGTTGTTTCGAAATGGTTGATAGAGTGTAAATTGAACCGGCCGAATTAATAAGCTGCCCCCCTTAGCTTCTTCAACAATCCATTTTTTTCAGCTTTTCAAACTCAATAAGCTAATTTTAAAAGTCATTTACCAAACATCATTATTAGCTTCTTTGACCAATCAAACAGCTGCAATGAGTCAAACAAGCTAAAAGCCGGCTGATAAGCCATTTGCCAAACATACCCTAAGAGTGATTCCTAGAAGGTAGAGGATTCATTCCACTACTAATAACATTCATGCTGCATGTTGATCACTTGTATTTTTTGTGACCATTTTTTCTTCTGTGTACAGGGAGTGCAGTTTTAGCTTTTGAGAAGTCGGGCAGTCCGAGAATAATGATTACAGAATGGAACTGCTTGTTCCAATAAAATTGACAATGGCCACATATATGCAATTAGTTTGATCTTTAGGTATAAGTCCTTCAAATAGCACATTTTGACCCCTCCATGCCCGAACTTACTCTTCGTTTGCTTATGTGATGTTTTAATTAGAATTTTCCAATGCTGCAGAGGGGTACATGTCTTGTTGATGTACATCTTTGCTTGTGGTGATGTTTTAATTATTATAGAGCCCAACACTTGTGGGGCTATTTTGATGACCCTCCTCCACACAAGGGCGCTCCCCCACCCCCACTGCCCTTGCCCTAGGCAGGGTTTGACGAGGCATATCACAGGAGTGGAGCTCAAAGACTGTCAAGCTCTCCATATCCACCCTTGATCAACCGGGTGAACAAGCATGCTGCGTATCACTACTTGCGGACATGAAGATGGTGGCGGAGCTGAGTTTTTGGGTTGCAGGGGCAAATTTATTGGTGTGGCTAAAGTTGAAGTCTTATTAAATTTATACATAAAATGCGTAGATATATGTCTTGTAAACAAATTTGGGATGACAAGAATGTTTTTACTTGGACTTGTTTCAGACCAGACCCGATTAGATTTTGGCAGTTGTAAAATACATAGAGACCGGACATTTACCAGACCAGTTCGGAGTATATTAGATCAGTTTAGATCAAATCAGAAAATTTTCCTTTCAAATAATGATTTGTACATCAGTTTGCAAAACACTAATTTCTTTATTTTGCAGCAAGTTTTTTTTTTTTTTTTTTGAAATTAGTTCCCGGGTTTCAAGATTTAGACATTTCAAACTTCATATAACGACACTTCTCTTTCCTCAAGATACTACTAACCACATACACATTCTCTACATTTTGTATCCTTTCATATTTTCTTAATGGAAGCAACAAATTAGCGTGTTTTTCATCTCTACTGGTAATTTTGAAAACCATTACATTATACGTAGTACGCAGTAAAAAAATACTCTAAATTTGACTTTAGATTGCAATATGTGTGCATTTAGCAATAATTTTAATGAGCATATAACATTTTAATGATGCCAAGTATTTGTGATCACATGATGTTGGGTTAATGGCCCAAGCCGAGGTCCGGCCCATTAACCCCTTTTTACAAGACGTACGTCCAGTTAGAACACAAAGGGACAAGAAGCAGGCCCACGGGCCATCAGGGATGACGACGAACGTCTCCTGAGCAAGCCCGTAGTCATCGGAGGAAATCCAGTCCACATGGAGAAGAATCCATCAAGGCCAGGAGACGAACAGCCGAAACCTCTTGAGGGTCACTTGGAGCGATCCAGCTCGCTTCCCAGGCGGACGAACGTCCCCATTATTTAGGCGGGAAACCTAGATTCTGGCGGGAAGTGCATTTAATGCTGAAGATTTGGTGGTTGGGACACAAGCGGTCCACAGGCCTCCACGTCAGCATGGCCACCTGCCCATTGGCGGGTATAAATAGAAGCATTTATTTCATTGTAAAGGGTTGGCAACTTTCTATTCTTAGCATTCAAGCTATAGCATTCTTACCGGTAGCATCTACACTACCTCGTAAGACGAACGGACGACGTGCCTTTTTTAGCAAGTAGATTGTACTTAGGGGAGTTATTGCGAAGTTAATAATACCTATTTACATTGCCTGCTATCCCCTCTGTTTCCTGATCCATCTGATAGTTGTTGGGCTAGATATTCCCATACTCATACACTCACTTCCACTCGAAATCTTTGGGCTTACGTGTTGGGTCCAAGGGTTGAAGGAATAAACCTCAACACTGGCGCCGTCTGTGGGAAACTGAACAAAAAGTTTCCAGAAACTCTCCCAAACAGCTACTAAATCTACCTACAGCAAACACGATGTCAGGAAGCAACAACCAGCGCGACCTCTCCGAGCGTCTAGAGTCAAGCCGCCGGAATCGCGGCCAGAACTCGGAACTGTCCGCAACGATCTGGACCTCCGGGGGAAACGGGGGTATCACTGACCTCATTCCCCTTGAGGCCAGGCAGGATCCCCGCCTCATGCGGGAACTTGCCGACACCATGCGCCGTTTGGCAGACGAACGGGAAGCTCAAGAGCAGGTGTACTCTGCAAGCACCCAGCGAACACCGCTCTCTCCCATCCGCCGTATGCAGTCGTACGATGATACGACAGGGTCCAGCGACCACCGGCCCTCAGTCCATGAGCGGCTGGGTGGAGGTTCAGGCTCCCATGGAACGGGAGGGCGAACCAATGTCAGCACTGCTGCTTTCAGGGCGCACACGCCATCAGTTCCCCGCCAAGTCTTGCGGGGAGACGAAACCCCAAGGATCAACACCGCTGGATGACGATTCCAGCGGCGAGGGGCACAGATCCTCAGGCGGCCGCACGGTGTTGTGGCCGCTCAGCAAAACGCTGTCCTCGAAGCCGTGCCCCCTGTGTCCCCCGGAAGGGCCGCACAGGACGCAAGGCTGGAAGCCATGGAGCGGCAGATTGCCGAGATGAACAGGCGGACGGACGCCGGCTCGGCCACGCCCTCTTTCTCCCTCACATCACCCTTCACCCCTCGGGTGATGAGCGTCGAGATTCCCCGGGACTGCAGGCCGCCGGGCAACTTGGTGTACAATGGGGCCGGTGATCCCAAGGCCCATCTGATTAGCTACCAAGGGAATCTGTCCATGCTGGGAGCATCGGACGAGGCCATCTGCAGATTGTTCTTCAGCACCCTCAGGGGGCCGGCACAGGAATGGTTCGGCCAGCTGAGGCCGGGCACCATCGACTCATATGAACAGCTTTCCCGGCAGTTCATGGCCCAATTCGCTGCCAGCACCACCCCCAGGAAGGACGTCACGGCTCTCGCCCACATCAAACAAGGGCGGGACGAACCGCTGGCTAGGTTCCTGGTAAGGTGGAGGGACGAAGTCCTGCAGGTCGACGATCTGGACGAACGTCTGGCCACAAACATGTTCACCAGTGCCCTAACCACCGGAGATCTGTACCGGGACCTGAGGAGAAACCCCGGTACCAGCTACACAGCCTACACCGAGGTTCTGGCTCGGGCCCAGAAGTATGCCTCCATTGAGGAGGAGATCAGGCAGCGGGACGGAGTTCCCGCGGCCCACCCGCGGAAGATGGCGGACAGGCTCGGACCCAGACCAGGGCCTGGGCCCTCCCCCCAAACAAAAAGAAGAGGGCGGAAGGGGCGATGGTCCCTTGGAAGGCTCCGTCCGGAGATATTCAGACGCGGCCGGACGACCGCTATGTCCCTTTGGCCTATCCAGTGAGCCAGATTTTTGAGGCCATCAAGGACAAGGGCCTCCTGATGGAACCTCAGGATGTGAAGAAGCATATGGGGCTTGACCAATCGGCCTATTGTGAATACCATCAGAGGGCCGGCCATCTGACGGACAATTGCAGCCAACTAAAGAAAGCAATCGACGAACTGATCCGTCAGGGGTACTTGGGCGAGTTCACCCAGCTGTTGAACAAAAACAGCCAGCAGAAGCCAAACCCAAGGCCTCGGACATGGCGCCGCGATGACCGGCGCGAGGCAGACCCCCAGGATGTGGATTATCGAAGTGCGGATAAACGTCCGGAGGGGTCCCTCGGCCCGAAGGGCAAAAAGAAGAAGCTGGAGATCAAGGTGATCTTCGGGGGCGCTGAGACGGGGGATACGCCCGCCGAACGTAAAAAATTTGAGAGGTCACTCTACGTGGGTTCCGTATCAGCACCCCCCACCAAACGCAACAAGATCGAGGCAATCACCTTTGGTTCCGCCGATCTGCCGATGTCACCAGCACCGCACAGAGACGAGCTGGTGATCAGCATGGACGTGAACGATGCCATCGTCCGCCGCGTCCTTGTTGATACCGGGAGCAGTGTGAACGTCCTCTACTGGGAGGCTTTCGAGGGAATGAAGCTGAAGAAGGACATGCTACACCCTCTGCGTACCCCGCTGTCCGGCTTCACCGGGGACTGCGTTGACGCTGAGGGCACCATCATCTTGCCAGTAGAGATCGGCGACGGCCCTCACACCGCCCGGATCGGGATGACGTTCGTCGTGGTCCGCCTGAAATGCGCCCACAACGCCATTTTGGGCCGACCCGGCTTGGAAGATTTGGGGGCCATATGCTCCGTACGACACTCATGCATCAAATTCCCCACCGACACGGGAGTGGGGGTAGCACGTACGGACCCGCATATGGCCAGGGCCTGCTACACAAAGGCCATGGAGAAGCTCAACGAGCGGGAGGCTCGGGTCAACAGCATCTCCGAGAAGGCCAAGCAGGCCGACTTGGACGCCCATCTGGAACCAGCAACCTTGCTGGAAGAAATCGAGCTCGACGACCCGACGGACAGGAAGGTGTCCATCGGTGCAGATCTAGAGCCGGAAATCAGAGCGGGGGTCATAGCTGTCCTCCGAAGGTTCAGAATCCTGTTCGCCAGAGGGCCGGAGGACATGCCGGGCATCGACCCTAATCTCATATGCCATAGACTCGCCGTGCGGTCGGACGCCAAACCTATACAACAGAAGAAAAGATATATGGCGGCCGACCGACGCGACTTCATCAGGAAGGAGACAGCAACTTTCCTCAGCATCAAACATATCCGGCCGGTCATCCACGTGGAGTGGTTGGCCAACGTGGTGCTGGCCCCGAAGGGCGACACATGGCGGATGTGCGTCGATTACTCGGACCTTAACAAAGCTTGTCCGATGGACCCCTACCCCGTTCCGAGGATCGACTTGCTGGTGGATGAGACAGCAGGCTGCGAGCTGCTCAGTTTCATGGACGCATTCAGAGGCTACCATCAGGTGTTCATGCACCCCGATGATGCTGAAAAAACGGCGTTCGTCACGGCGGACGGCGTGTATTGCTACATCGTCATGCCGTTCGGCCTGAGGAACGCCATGGCTACCTTTCAGAGGATGATTGGGATGTTGTTCAAAGACGTGCTTGGGAAAACAATGGAAGCTTACGTAGATGACATCCTGATCAAAAGTAAGAAAAAGGAGGACCATGTCCGGGACATGGAGAGGGTCTTCAGCATCATGGAGAGGGCCAGCATGAGGCTCAATCCGAAGAAGTGTGCCTTCGCCGTCAGGGGCGGCAAGTTCCTCGGCTACATGATGAGCGAACGGGGGATCGAGCCTAACCCGGAGAAGGTAAAAGCAATTGTGGACATGGAGGCCCCGAAGAACCTAAAAGACGTGCAGCGGCTTACCGGGCGTCTGGCGGCTCTGAGCAGGTTCTTATCCAAACTGGCTGATAAGGCGATTCCCTTCTTCCAGATCATGAAGAAGGCTAACCCCTTTGAATGGACCCCGGAGTGCCAAACCGCTTTCGAAGATTTCAAGGTATATCTCTCCTCTCCGCTCGTCCTCACCAAAGCGGATCCCGGGGAGAGGTTGTACATGTATTTGGCAGTAGCCGATTTGGCCGTGAGTGCCGTGCTGCTAAAGGCGTTCAGCGGCCAATATACTTCGTGAGTAAGGCGCTGAACGGCCCCGAGACGAGATACACATTGATGGAGAAGACGATCCTTGCCTTGATCGCATCCATCAAGCGCCTGGCACCGTACTTCCAAGCACACCCGGTGACCGTCTACACGACACAGCCCCTCGCCACAGTCCTCAGGAACCCGATGGCAAGCGGGAGGATAACCAAGTGGTCCTTGATGATCGGCCAGTATGACGTGGACTTCAAGCCAAGGCCGACGATCAAAGGACAGGCACTGTCGGACTTCATTGCGGAATGCACCG